TTAAAAAATTATGGTTGGATCGAGACATAAATTGCATAATTTTCAGTGGCTTTGTGCCTAACCTGCAGAACACGTCTTTTCTTGGTAGCAAGCACACACGTACACTGGTTTGATGGCTGTAGTTCAATAGACAGTACAGATAAACAATTCCTTTTGGGTTTGTGATTTAAGCTTTGTTATCCAAAGGGTGAACTCCAGTCCACTGATCCCTTGTGTGTGAGGGGGAAAAAAAAAAAAACCAAACAGTTTCTACCAAGTTTTGTGTTGCTCAAAGGTTAAAATCTGGTTTTCTATTGGTATGACCAAAGAAAGCTGAGCTTGGGGGAAGGGAGGCTGGTTGGGTTGATGAGGTGGTTTTTTGGGGGAGGTGGTTGGGGGCAGGTGGAGGGTGTTTGGGGATGGTTCTCGGTTTGGGTTTCTTTTACAGAGTGGTAGCAAAGCACTGCTAGAAATACACTGCATCCACAAACCTGTCTGAAAGGAGAGCCTTCATCCTTGTACTCAGTATGAACTAGGACATTTCTGAAGCTGTAGTGATTTTTCTTGCTTGCTTACGTCATGTGGGTTTTGCTCTGTGCTTCAAGCTAAAGCCCTTTGATGATGTGTTGTTTTTTTTTCTCTTCCTTAGGTTTAATTCTCAGTTTACTGTCAGGTGTCACTAGCACAGATGTGAAATACAGACAAACTTTCTAAAGCCAAGTGCTATGGGAAAGCAGAGCACAGAGTCTGGATTCCCCTGTTGTTCACAGAACTGAGCCTTCCAGGTCAGGGTAGATTGTGTTTTCGCCACCATCTGTTGTGCCTGGGGATGCCAACACAATACTTTTCCTGACCAGTAACCTTACACAGTTAACTGTAAAAGAAAATATAATGTGGATTCTGGTTTTGGTCATCAACAACTTCTACTCTTACGTGAATTTGTATGTGCTTTCAGAAGGCCAATTTTTAAGAACAAATTATATGGCAGGAGAATGCATAACACATGTAAGAAATTATCTAGGATTTTGGCTTTGAAATGTGTATTTGGGAGCTGAACAGTTTTTCAAGTTCTGACCCAGCAATATGCAGGTAACTTTGATTATCTTTTATTTAAAGAGTGCCTAAAGCGCTGCTAATGACCTCAGCACTGTAGGAAATGTCTTCCGTAGATTGTCTTGTGCATTTAGCAGCTTCTGGTGATTTTTTCACCGTGTATTTAGAGCATATTCCAGTTAGCATATGAGTAACATCATGTCAGTCCTAGTTCTTTCATTCTGACATCTCTCTTGGCTCCCAGTGCGATTTGGCCCGGTTTTCCAAAATGTTGATCCTGAGTCCAAATGTAACTTTGTGGGTGGTACATATGTCAAGCCCTAGTTCAGTATTTTTGGACAGCAGTAGCATTTCATAATTCTTTTGAAATGAAAAGAAGAAACGAAATTAACTGAAAAAAAGTGCAGCTAGATCTAGCTGGGCACAAGCTTGCCTTTTCTATTCCCCACTCCACCCCCCTGTTTTTCCGTTTGGAAAAATAGAGGTTTACGTGGCAGAAGCACTTGACAGGATTTAGGCTCGTTCAGAGCAGCAAGCAATAGCATAGCCTCGACTTTATAACCTGTCTTGTCGTGCCCTGGTGGCCACTGAGACCTCCTGGGATGCGGATGAGGAAGATGGGGAGAGTGGAGGGTTGCAACCCTATGTTTGAGTTTGTTAAAAAGTGAGCTAGGCTGAATTACGTAGATGGCTGAATAAGGCCATGTTGGCACTAAAAAAGCCAAACAACCCCCTCAGGTTCTCCGTATGTCTGTGTTTGATATACCTACTGCCATATTATATCCTTATATACAGCACACTAAACAGCACAGGAAGGTATAAATGCAACTTTATTACGTAAAATCAAGTGAAATAGTCCAGAAGGTTGTAGCCTGTGTGAAATAAACACACGTACAAAGTACAGGAGGTTTCACAGGGCATAAATCAAAATGAACTTCATAGCTTCCTTCCCTCCTTCTCTCCAGTGCGGTTGCTGAGCTGCTAGCTGAAAAGCTGTCCTTCATCCTTCTCTTGCAGCAAACCACACGCTCATATATTATTAATTCTGTTTCAGTGGTAATGCAGGACATCGGTATTTTTCTAGGGTGTCTCGGGTTGCTTTTCAGTGTGTCTGTGCCAGCTCCACTGCTGCGGTTGCAGTTTTGAGCATTGTTTTTCAAGTGCCGATAATTTTTCAAGCAATAGCAACATCAACAGAAAAAGCACGTTTGCAATGACTCTTGACACCCAAGTTCTGAGCCCAAGAGGTGATTTGCTGTGAGAAACCACAAAACAAATCACTGTAGCCCTCTGGTCCTCCCTCACTTAGTTGCATAGCTTCAGGAGGTCATAGACTAGCCAGCTGCCTTTCCTAAGCTGCTGATGTAACAAGTTAGCTCCAGCCCTTGCAACACGGCCTCTTCCAGCATCCTTGCACAGTTGTGTCATAGTTGAAGGCCCTAGGGATGATGGTCCTTATGGTGGTTCCATAAAAGATGCTGGACTCGGCAGTGGGGACTGTTCTTTTGAAGGACGCTGGCCTAAATAATGCCTTCTTTTTTCCCTTCTTGCTAAAGCGCAGTGTGAGGTGCAATGCAGGAAAATATAAGGAAGAAGAGGAGAGAGGGAAGAAAACTTGGTCCTTGGTTTTGGCTACTTAGAGGACAGTGTAAAGTGAGAGCTTTGGTCTTAAGTATTTGGAGTTATCTTGCAGATAATACATTTTGTGGGCAAAGAATGGGTTTGTTTTTCCTTTTAAAAGGGGGTTGAAAATAGTTAAGTCACATCAACTTAGTCTTTTTTGCTATTTGTTAACAAATATGCACACCAACTTGAAAATACAGTAGGAATGGTTGTCTTGTTGGGCTTGTGGTTTGATTAGTCATTTGACTCTGATGCCCAACATGGACTCAGCTGATACTGTTTTTCTTGGTGTCAGAGCACAGCTGGATTTATGCAAGGAACAGGAAAGAGTTCAGACTCCTCCTCAAGGAGGTTTCACCAGCACTTCCTGCACTGTAGGTCCAGCTGGAAGCTTTGGGACATGTTCATGAGCAGTCAGGGATGGTAAAATTCCTCTTCCACATTCAAACCAGGATATCCAAGCTGGTGAGTGAGGCAGAGACATTAGCTATTCCCTGTTGGAAATAAAGGAAGGAACAAGAGCAAAGTCCATGACTGACTCATCTTTCCAATAAAATGCTATTCCAGGATTTAAACATCAGGGAAGTATTACCACACAGGCTACTTGTGGCGATGTGTGCCTTTTTGTTTGGTTTAACAGCTAACCTGTTAGCCCTCCCCAGTACACAGTGCCATTTCAATGCTTTCTCTATATTATCTCTTATAGAGATGCCTGAGTGTCACGGTTATATACCTAAGATACTCTTGACTATGTGGTCTCCCATGAAGCACCCACTGTGTTTTGCAAACCTCACCTGGTTCTGTTTGGGCATTTCACACGTAGTACTGTTTTGTAGTAGGGGAGAGGAGTCCTCCACTGCTATTTCTTCTTAGCATTTTGGTTGCTTTTCCTTTTTTCTTCCCCCTTCTCCTCACCCCCAAACCCTAATATGGGCCCAGCCTGTGATTACTGGGAAATGTAAAGCCGGGGCTTAAATGTCTGTGTTACTCTCTTTAAGTCTGAAGTTTGCCTAGGTGGTGCACCATGCATAGCTATGTAATACAACACCATTTATTGATCCTAGGTCTATGCCATATTTCGGAGAAGCAGGGGGCAGTTCGATTACAATATAGGATTTCACCCTTAATTTTTAATTTCCGGCTGGTTTGTGTCACAGCCTTAACATTGCTTAAACCTGATCGAATGCGACTCCCCGGAGCTCAAGCAGCCAGCCCAGCTGGAGAGCCACGCAGCAGGGGCCGGCGCTGGCTGGCAGGGGACCCGCCGCGGCGCCTTCCCTCCTCCCGCTTTGTCCCTTCTGCTTTGGTGGGGAGCGCTGATTCGTGTGTTCAGGGGATAATTTTGGTATCACCCCAAGGGCTGGGGGCAGGGGTGGGTTGGGAGTGAAGGACAACATGCTGGGAAAGGCTGTGGGGAGGGACGATTTTGTGGTATGAAGGGAAGCATGTCCCTCTGGGGTGATGTGCTTTAACTAAAGAGGCTCCCCAGCACCTCGGCTCAATTGTGTTATACAAACCAAGGGACTCTGCATCTTATGAGAATGACAGACATCTATTTTATTATTTTATTTTTTTTCATTTCTCACTGGCAAAATTTCTCACCTTCTCACCTCATCAGTGTCAACAGCTGGATGTGTAAAAGGTAGAGTACGCAGGCATGCGGTAAACAGAATCAGAGCATGAGCATTTACTTCTCTTGTCTCTTGGCCATGGGAAAACTGCTGTGAAATGTGAAATCTCTGACAACCTTGACTGTTGCAGTCAAGGTCAAATGAGCACTAAATATCCTTCCTAAGACACTTCAGCACATGAAGCTTGTCTTGGTTTAAGCGGTCCTGAAAGGTGAGAACAGGATCGGAGAGCTGTTTCACACTTTGACTGTGTACACGTCCTGTCATTGCTCACCATTGCACGTTAACAGTGTGAATCTAGTCTTTGGTTAGCTGCTTGGTGGGTTTGGGGTGTTTTGGTTTTGGGGTTTTTCTGTTTTGTTGGTTGTTGGGGTTTTTTTATGACACTGTATTAGAGTATAGCTGCTGCCACAGCCGAAGATATCTTACCTGATTAGGATGTTATTCCAGTCCACCTCTTTTTCCTTGCAAGCAGTAGGAGTAGCCTGGCATGTTAGATGTTTCCTTGTGTTCACTTTTCCTTTTGGTGAATTGGATAATTCTTTAGAGAAAATCGTTCCACAGAAAAAGAAATTTACATCTTGGTTCAAAGACAGAGTCCTGAAAAAAAATAAGGATTTTTTTTTTTTTTTTTAATCACAGCTGTTTGTTTCAGGGCACTGGGTCACTAATTGAGTGCAAGCTTTATAAGTGTTGTTTGTCCTCCCCCCACAGGGCATACAAAACCATTGAGGAAGATGACTTGAAGTTTCCCCTTATATATGGAGAAGGCAAGAAGGTGGGCGCATTTGCTTTTCTCAGACCAAAGGAAGAAGGAATTCTGTGCTGTTTACCACTTGATTTAGCCTGTGGCAGTCCAGTCTTTTCCACTCAGTATCTCTTTATTTTATCGTTGTGACAGCTTGAAAGAATATCTTGGTTCTGTCATAAATCAGTCTCGTGTCTGGGGGGCAGAGGGGGGAGCTCAACATACTAAAAAGCATTTTTATAGCAAGCATAGTCATTTGCTGTTCAGTTTGCTTTTGTTTTTCTTTCATTGTAAGTAGGCTACAATGAGACAGTCTTTAATAATTGACTTAAAAAGTTCTTGCTTTTATTGTAAAATATAACTAGGCTGGATGAAGATAGCAAAATACCTCATGTTTACTGAAAACAAAGCAGGAAGATATTTAATAACATTTTAGAGAGCTCAGAGATGCAAAACCCTAATTTAGGAAGGGGAGGGATCAGGGCAGGATTTGGGAAATAAAACACCTCTTAACTGTATCTTCTTCAGCTAGTGTATGTGAACTCGCTGTTGAATTTTTCTGATGTGTGAAGGCTGATAGATTTTCTTGAAAGGGAGAAAGAAACCATTCTGTTTTAGGTGCACTTTGTTTCCATCCCTGTGATTAAGAACAGTGAGATCATTAGTGCTGATCCCAGCAAGCTTAGCTGGATGCGGCAATAGGATCAATATAAGGACGCAGTGGTGTCAGTTTGCCGATATTGGTATGCTCACTGTGTTTCTAAATAGTGCTCCCCTGCTGCATTAGGTTCTTATCTCAATGCAAAAATACACGCTCTTCAAAATTAGTCCAAGTTTTGAAGGTTCAGACCTGCAGCTTATCTCTGAATTTGGTTAGGTTTATAATTATTTGCAAAATGTTTCATGCACATCTTTTTAATTTACTTTCTTATTGCCTTATGGAGCCAGGGGTTAGTGAGGCAAAATAATTTTGAGTCAGTTACTTGCTGTTATTGATGCTGTGAGCTCTCTTGTTCAGAAGCTGCTGCAGCTAAACTAGAGTTTGGGGGAAGTGATATGCAAAGAATGAGGTTCCCTGTGGGGTGCTCTACCTGGTCAATCTTTGGAGAAGCGTTAATGAAGAAGAGCCCAGCACCTCTTGGGAAACAGCTCGTGCTACAGAGGAAGGTGCTTGGGGAAGGAAGTGGTAGACCTGAGGTAAGAGCAGAGCTGGCCTAGACTGGCTCTCCACAGAGAAGAGCACTGTGGTCAGTGTCACTGTCACCTGTGTGTTCAGCAATTTAAGGCGGCCTTTAGCACTTTTCCTTGGTGGAGGGAATATACAGCAGTATGTCAATAGGAGGAGGCCACAGGTTTCTTAGGTGAGTGATTAGGCTCCTCATCCTTTTTATAAAACTTGTTTACTAGCAGCATAATTTGCTGAAGGAATGCTGGCATAGACTGACGTAGGACGGTGAGGTGACTGGGTTAGGTTTCCATAGTCCCAGTCCCTTACAGATGGTCATGGTCTAAGATGGGTGTACGCAGAGTGGGATGTGGATGAATACAAAGCTTGGAATAATGAGGGAAATGGAAATGACATGAGTATGAAAAGCTTTGAAGTTGATTAGCTGTGTAAAATCTAGAGTTTCTGGGAGAGGAAAGGGAATTAATCCCTAACTGTAGCAGTTGTGGAGTAGGAACATTATTTCTTTTCCTATTGGCACTGTGCATGTAACAAGATTTGACCCCATTGCTTTTCTTTGTTTCCAGGCTCGGGTTATGGCAACAATTGGAGTGACCCGAGGACTGGGAGACCATGACCTGAAAGTTCACGACTCCAATATATACATCAAACCTTTCCTGTCCTCATCTCCCGAGGTAAAACACCCAAGGTTCAACTATCTGATTTGTGGGAGAGAAACAAATATACTTAGCGTGCTTATTCGTTCTTTCCAAATTGTCCATTCTGATTGTGGTCCAATCCAGGTAACATGCTGCCCTTCCCAAAGGTGTGGCATGTTAGTAACATCCACATAGTAGGAACAGTATAAGTTCCCCAGCTGTGTGTCCTGGCTCTGGTTGCTCCACATCCCTGGCAGAGCCTTGATGCCTTCTCACTCCCTGGTCTATGGTTATCCTGTAGCCTCACAATTCAGTGTCCCAGGCACCCATCTCTCCCCACCTTCGTGTGCTCCGCCTCCCCTTGAGGCTTAGATCACGCTGTCTTCACAGAAGCTGATGTAAATCTGTGTTCTCCAGAAGGAGCACTGGATGTCTTCCACAGTAGCGTAGTATCCTGCATTACGCAGAGAATACCAGCTTCGACTCTTAAGCAGGAAAATGCCAAGAGCGATTGGAAGAGTGCTTTATGCTTCCATCTGTCTGCCCCTTCACCTCAAGTTCTTAATTTTTTATGATGATTTTGTGCAAACACCAAATAATGGCAGGAATGACAGTGTGCATTCCCAAATGGTGGCATAATGAAGGGATTATGCAGTATTTGTGTTAGGGGTAGTTTTAAATGCCTCCATCATTTTGACTTGCCTTGCCACAAACAATTCCAGTTTTTGACCACCAGAGACCTTGCAGGGAAGGATATCAAGCCTTCCAAAGGGATTTGAATGTATTTGTTAACAAGAAACATGCAAACCTTGCTTTTTTTTTCCTCTGTAACTGCATTCCTGTTCTTATGTCAAGGAACAGATGACACATATTTTTTATGAAATATTAAGCAAGGGCAAACCATCTGATGGCAGCACAAAAAGAGGAGGCTTTGCTTCCATGGCCCGAATGCTGAGAGCCGTTCACTGTCAACTGGGTTGCTGGAGTTTTCACCATACCCAGTATTTGACCTTGAATTTATTGCTTTTTATAGCAGTGCGAGAGAATGAAAATACACAAATGACATAATGCTGCTAGGAAGGAACCAAGTTATTAAATTAACCTTGCTTAGAACATCTTTGAGACTTTAAAAATAATAATTTGCTGAGAGATTCTGGCCCTGAAGAAAAGGGGGAGCTCTACAGACAGCCCCTTCTTCGTGTTTCCTTGCTGCCAATCCGGTACCTCCTCTCTCCCTGCTTTGAATGTGTGGTATCCCTCGCTTGGGACCTGGCTCCTCTTCTCCTCAGCCAGGCAGGCAGCAGCTCAGCCCTCATCACTGTGATGGATTTGTTTAGTGCCAGCGAAATGATGCAATTCTACCTATTTATTTTTCTTCCTGGCATGCTGAGACCCAGCGTTTCTGGGGTATGTAATGGCTGCAGCACAGTATCTCAGCAGTATCATCTCTGCCAATTGCTGCTGCAGTATTTGTCTGTGTGTATAAACCAAAGCTTCTCATGGGCTTTTCTGATTTGTGTGGAGTGTGTCTGCACGTGTTCAAATTCTGGAATATGACGTCCAGTTCGTATGCTATCCACGTTTCAGGATCTCTTAACTGCTTCGCAAAAGGGAAGCAAAATTGGCTTTGTTTCCACATTCCCTTCGCAGCTAAATTCAGCAGAAATGTACGAGGGCAGGAGGAGGAAAGACAGAACACCAGACACCTCGATTTAGAGATATTGGCAAAAAAAAAAGCCCTGAATTTTATTAGGAAGTAACATATGCTCCAACTGGCTTTCCATTGCACCTCCCTCTCTTAATCATCTCTTCCTTCTCTTCCCAGAGAGATCCCCAGTGGTTTATCTCCTCGTGTTTTCCTCTGACTTGTTCTGTCCGTACGTGGACAGTGCACCTTGCACAGAAACCAGCATTAAGAAACAATGTCTTTATGCTGCCATCTGGGAGGTTTGGCACTTAGAAGTAAAGGCAGTGGCATCAAGCAGCAGTCGTATTTGGCCCTTGTGCAGCATTGGATTTCGAATTGTTTATATAGAGGTAGGGAAGCACAATGTCTGGTTTCCAGACCTGGAAAAGGGGAGGCATGGGAAATTAAGGCACACAGGGAGTCGTGACAGAGGGAGGATCCAAGTCCTCTGGCTTCTGTTTCTGCGCCGTAATTACAGCATCCTTTCCCAAGTTAGGGGCAATGTGGTGAGTTTTCAGAATGTTTTACTTCCAGCATGACAAAGCTGCGGTATGCCATGTCCACCAAAATTTAGCAGAAGGAAAGGTGGGTGTCCCTGAGAATACATCCAGAAATAGGCATGTAGAGGTAATTTGAGGGTGGAGTGAAATGATACTTTGATAGAGTGCCAGAGCTATGGGAGGAGAAGTCATGTAGCCAAGACTGACAAATGTAATCAGGATTCAGTGGCTCAGCTGTTACGAGACCAGATTTGGAGGACTTCTGCAGGTTGGTGAGCTCTAGAGAATTGAGCCTTTTATAATGAACTGGAGTAGCACAAAGCAGGCAAGCCGTGGCTGAGGCTCTCTGGCATGGAATTAAATATTTATTTTTTCATAATGGAACAGTTCATTTGAAAGCTTTCAAAAAGGAAATTCCGCTTTTTGAAGCTCGGCAATATCTGCCGCGTTGCAGCTGAAAAGCAGAATTTCATCCTGAAATTTTTTGAACAGCAGCTCAGCCGTTTGGTAGGAGAGGTGTGGCTCTCACAGCAGCATTCGTCCCTTGCCGGTGATGAACCTGAAGCCAGCCACCACAGCAAATGATGAGAAGGTAATGAAGGAGAATTTTTCTCCTTCCATTATGTTAGTGAAATGTTTCTGACAACTCCACAAATATGTCAACAGAGACCGTTTTAGATTCACATCTGCCTTCTGGAGAAATCTTGAGGAATTGCACCGTTTAAAGGAACAAGCCAGGCAAAGACTTAGAGAAGTACAGTATGATCAAAGGGAGTCAAGGTGGTTGCAAGTAGCAAACATCACACTTTAGTGGCTTGAAGTCCTTCAGGGTTATGTCTACCAGAGAATTAAAAAAATAATAATAATAAATGCAGTAGATGGTCTTGCATGAGCGCTTTGATTTCTCAGAAAACGTTTGAGAAACTGTTCTGCATCACAGGTTATTAATATAAAAGATATGAAGCTACAGACTAAGTGGAAAGTTGGCACAGTCTACTGGAAATTGGCTAAAGGGCAGGAAACAAAGGGTGGCAGTAAAAAGCTAAAAGGAGATTAATTGGTGAGTGCTGCAGGGAGCAGTGTTGGGACCCGCTTTTTATTATTTACATATAAATTACTTGGAGGGTGGTATTGAAAGATCTCGTCGTTTGCCAGCAAAGCTGTGCTGGATAACACCGTGCATAAAAAGGGACGATACAATTAAGAAAGGGCTTAATTTATTGAAGTAGCCGAGTTGATCAATAGTGCAGGCGAGTGAATGCGGGCTGTTGTTTGGCTCGAATCCCCCCGGGGCTGGCTGCTGAGGAGCACCTCAGGTGGCCGCAGGCTCGCATGTCACTCTGTTGTGAAGCGTTTTTGAGCTCCAGGGACTCGGCGTTGGCTGCCACTTAAAAACAAACCTGGCAAACGAGCCGCAGCGCCTTCGCAGAGCTGCTGTGGTCCTTTTTGGCAGCCAAACGCAGGTTTTGTCCAGTGGGTAGATCTGTTTGAAAGGTAAATATAAAACCAGCCCACCTGTTTGTTCGTTGCTTGCCCAGAGCGTTTTTCTCAGCGCTCTTGACTACACGTAGGTGAGCAATATGAGAAACAAATATCTGAAGAAAGGCGTTACGTGACAAACTGCATAACGCGTGCTCAGAAAGATGCCGTGTGTGACTATGTGCTCTAGTGGTGTGTATCCGCTGTTACCTGTCAGCAGAGATCTGTAAGTACCAGTCAGGATAAAATACAGTGTAACCCAATGCTTATTGACATGGATGCCTGTGCTACTGAGGTTCTGCTGCTCCTTCCTTATGGTTGTCTTTTTACATTTTCTGGTCACTGAAGTCAAGTTTAGCTAGTTAACAGGTCAGCTGCTCTACGTCAAGACAGATATTAGTGGATGGTAGAGGTATGGTGACCGAACTGGGCTCCTTTGAGGGCTGCCCTGATGCTTCAGAGAGGTGTGAAAGAGTGAAAAGGTTCGCCAGGGTGGCACAGCAGGGGCTAGTAGGCTGGGGGGAGTTGGTGGCAAGGCTCTTGGGACAGCGCAGGAGGCAGAGGAGAGAGCACAGGAAGCCCAAGATGTTTGGGATGGAGGACACGAGTTCTGTGGGACGCTATCAGGATTGATGTCTGGATGCAGAAGCAACGAGGCATGAGGGAAAGGTTGAAGATTCGGGGGAGAATTGCTAGGAAATTTGTCAAGGGTGCAGCACCGGTTAAGGAAACCTCTGCGCTGCAGGACAGTGTCCGGCCAGCCATCATCTGTGCTCGCGGTGCTATGTAATACTGTTCTGCAGTGCAGGCAGCTTTGTGCAGACTTATGCCACAGATAGAACATTGCTTAAACCTTGCTGTTATTTTCTTTCCTGAAATACAGCTATGGGAAGGAGGCAGTCGTTAGGTAGGTTGGCTCTGGAATTAAAAAAAAAAAAAAAGTCATTGGAGTCAAAGAGCTGTTTTCGATCATGTAAGATTTACAGTGCTGTGGGGTTACTTGCTGTTGCAGGCACTTAACTGCCTGGATCTCTGCTTGTCTTTCCAAAACTCTGGCATATCACGCTCCCTCGCCTTTTTTGTACAGCGCGTGCGGAGTATGCTACAGGGTGTTACACAACGTGAGGTGTGTGGAGTGGATGTTTGGTGAGCTCTGGTGGTCTGAGCATCGGTTACACGCGCCTTGGTGGTGCTGCCCAACCTGTGCGTCTCCGGGAGCTCTGCTGTGGCGCTGCTCCATGTCCAGCTGAAGGCACGTGTCGCTACTGCAGGAGACCCCACTGAAAATAAGAACTAGAGCAAAGCTGCTAGCAGAAAAGGGAAGGGTTAGGAGCTGGTTTGCTTCTGTGCCTGGGCAAGGCAGTCTGTGAGCATAACCTACAATAGACCGGACAGCTCTAAAGTAAGTCATTTTTGTCAGCAACATACGAGGGGCACCTGCAGCTGCAGTTTAGAAATCTGAGGAAAGACAGAAAGGAAAAACTCAGTTTTCTCTTTCTTTTTAAGTATTGTGTGGACTGCCTTGATGTGTTGCTGCTGCAGTAGTTGGAAGGCAGACAAAGCTGCATTTTGTTGAGTGTGCTACCTGGCCCTGGTATACAAGAATCTTACCCGAAGTTTCCCCAAGCTTGCCTCCTGTAGCCTTGGCACTCTCTTTTCCTTAGTCTGGGTACCAGCTGAGCATCCCTTGTTGCTCACCCCACTGCCCTTCTCTGCACCTCTTCTGACATCTAGTTCCTTCTCAATAGCAGCCCTTTCTGGAGTTGTTCAAGTCACAAAGTTTTTGCTTTTAAGAAGTAACTACCTTGTTCCCAGATTACCCATAAAATCTGTGATTGTATTTTTATTTTTTTTTTCTTTTCCCCAAAACCTAAACATGTTCTTGGTAAAATGATCTGTTCCTGGTATTGCTTTAGCATTGTGCTGCACCAAAGATTTGGACCCTTTGACCTGTGGAGGTAGCTTTCACAAGTTTCCTATCTGCGCCCAGTGCCGCTCCTCAGTCAGGCAAGATTGTTCATTTCAGGAGGATTCAAGTCAATGATGCGTGGTCTTGGTTTTCTGCCTTCTCCCCCACCAACGCTGCAAAAAAAAAGGCTCTTGTGGTGTAGCGTGTACTTTGCCTGGGTGGGAGGGCCACGGTAGATGTGTTTTTTCCTAGCACTAATGTTTGAAGCTTGGTTATTCCTACAGCGTGCTTGCTGCTGAGTGCATCTCTGAGCATTAACCCCGATGCTCTCTCAAATATTTGCCTGTACCCAAGAGATCTGACCAGAACATGTGCTGCTTATTAATGGCTATGTTGGCTACCTTACCCCCGCCCCAGTGATTTCTGAGTTGAAACCCTGGACTGGTATAGGCTGAACTAAATTTTGGGGAATGGGGACTATGACAACGACTGGTTTCTGTGCAGTGGGCTTGAAAGAAGAGCTGTGCTGCATATAGGGATCTTTTCTAGAACAGTATTCCCACTCAGTCTGAATAAGGAGATATGCTGTAATGAAGAGAGTATCTTGCCTTGACTTTAATCCTCTCCAAAGTCCTTATTCAGCTGCTACCTTAGATAATGAAGTGAAGGTTACATTTTACAAATGACCTTCTTGTGCTTTTGAGTGAAAAGCGAACGAGTAAGGATTAGCAGTCAGGTCTGGGTGATTTTTTTATTTTTTTTCCCCCTCTGGTACTGGTTGCAGTCCCATAAAATCATAATTACATTAAAAGGTCCAGGCATTTTATGTACATTGCCTGCTCTGTGGCTCCTAAAGGGAGAATGCACCAGGAGGGAGAATAAAACAGCTCGTATTTTCCAGTTACGCCAAGTGCTTGTCCCGACAAATTTCCCAACTGCGGCTGCTGTTAGCGGAGCCCGAGGCCGGAGCAGGGTGTGTGATGAGGCGCACCGTTTCCAAACTTCAGTACAGATGATCCTTTCCTCCTGCCTGCCTTGCCAAGGTTGTCACACTTCTTTCAAACTGTGGTTGTTGCTGTGGTAATTAAAGCGCTCCGTGAGTGCTTCCTAACGGCTCCCCATCGCAGCCTGGGAATGGCAGGCGGTTTGTCAGCTAGAATGCAGCGTGTGCTGGAGGGAGAGTTACACCCAACTAAAAGCTCATTTTAAAACACTTACCATGACGTTTGCTCATCTTCTGGCTCAGATAATGGCCTGCCGTGCCCCCCCACTGGTGTCTGTCCCCTCTGCTCCCGGCTTTCCCCAGCCTCGTCGGGAAGAGGATGGTGGAAGTCGCTGTAAAAGCAGCGCGTTAAGGAGATACCAACAGCAGTGGTCAGCCTGACTGTTGCTGCAGACTGGTGAGGTGAAGCCAGTGTGGATAAGGGTG